CCACTATCTAATCATCCAAAATTACACTGGAATTACGTATCCTTGAAATTGAAAATACTATACAAGCCTGATAACTTAACCTGAATGCACATCTTTGAGTGTCTCAGTTTTGCCCAATTTCTTGGTTCAACAATATATACAAGGTCTTTATTTACAAGAATTTCTATCATATCTTTCAGAGCTGAATTCCATTGACCAAGAAAATATGAGATCAACCAGCAGTCAAGGTGCCAATTGGTCAAAACATGCTAAAATTGGCTTTGGCAATCAAATAATGCAATAGGATGATCAGCCTTTTGACTCTTGACTCCCACTGTTGGAGGTCAAGAGAAACGGTCAAACTGGTAAGTAAACAGGCTTGTTTCGATTACATCAGCCAATCCTCGTCATTTCAATCATCAGCTGCGCCGCACCGGTCACCATGAGATGCCGCGTCATTGACCCGTACCGTAATTGCTGGGTCAGATTATCCATCCACGGTCAAGTTCTGATCCAACCGCTATTCCAGACTATGTATGACTCATGAGTGACAGTGTGATTACTTTGAAGTTGATGATCAATGAGGCGTTCAACTTCCAACCTTACTTCAAACCACATATCTCAATCGAAAAAAGAAACTTATCACAATACCATTTGGATCACTTGCCAACATGGCGATTGTACATTTGTATTGAATGATTTGATGCGATTGAAATGATTCACTCGCATGTCATCCAAGCGATTGAAGGGATTCACTCGGATGTCATCAAAGCGATTGGAACCTTTCATGGAGGAGAGCAAAAAATGAATAAAAATATGCATCTTGTTCCCTGCGTCGAGAATCTCACTCTGCATATTTTTCTGTATTTTTACAGTCCATATTGATAAGTGTACTAACAATAAACCTTCACAATCATCCAATTACAACCTGTAACAAGCACTGAAATTTGGCTCATTAGTGTTTAGAGAAACTTTTGATTTCTGAAGATACTCATAACTTTTTCAATTGCAGTCCAAAACGCTTGATTTTGGGTGCATTGGTAAGCTGGAAGTGTCCTCCAAATAGTTCATAATAGGACCACACAGCATGCTGGTCTGCTAAAAAAGATAACATCTTTTTTATACATTTGTTCATACAGATCCATAGAATGATTGTCATACTGGCTACATAGTTCTTGATCTCATGAAAGTTTGAGAGGAAGAGTTCAGCTTTCTCATGCACTTAAAATCGAGTGTTTTGAGGCAGATTTGACAAAGTTATAGGTGTTTTCAGAAATCAAAAGTTTCTCTAAACACTAATGAGCCAAATTTCAGTGCTTGTTACAGGTTGTAATTGGATGATCATGAAGGTTTATTGTTAGTACACTTATCAATACGGACCGTAAAAATATGGAAAATTATGGAGAGTGAAGCTCTCACCGCAGGGAACAAGATGCATATTTTTATTTATTTTTTCCCCTTCGCCTGGCCTCTCAATATTTTTGTGTATCAATAATTTAATTTTCTGCCCAGAAAATATTATATTTCGTGTAGTGTATACATATACATCCACTCTATACTCATCTGAGCTATCATGAGGAGCGGGCACAAGGTTGAAATTATACGTAGTATAAACTGCTATATATGTCTATTACACATGTTTTGTGGTTTGTCCTATTCAAACCCAAAACCTCCGTTATAGAAGTTTTTGGTTTCTTGGGGGGGCCCCTTAGCCTGAGCTAAGGGGGGTAGGACTACCGGGCCTCGTAGACGGGGAGCTCTGCATGGTGGGCTAGGCAACCCGCTACGGGCCAAAACATTAGTAACACAACAAGAACCTTGGAACACAAATCTACTAAAAAACTAACTATGGTAAAAAAATAAAATAAAACTTTTATCAAAAACTAACCAGGTAATCAAACACTAAGAGGGGTCTATCTAGTCGTCCTACGCCAACCAAACCAAAACAGGGATGGAGGGCGGGTGAGAAATTTTTTCCTAGGAAATTGAGAAACTCTGTTAGTGAGAGTTTGTGAGATAGTGAAGATGAGTAGTGAAGATACACTCGTGGGATAACTGAGTGAAGAGACACAAAGTTGGCGATGAGGAGGAGCGGAATGAAATTCGATTTTTTCTTCTGCGACTCAAACAACCATCGTCCACGTACAGGTATCCCTCCTTAGAGGGATATCACGTGACTCTCTCTTCACATGATACAGTTATGTGTATACGTGGAAATTGCTGGTACCGTCGTGCCTTTGGGTACCAGCAGCCATCCACTCTATACTCATCTGAACTATCATGAGGAGCGGGCACAAGGTCGCAATTATACGTAGTATAAACTGCTATAAACGTCTATTACACATGTTTTGTGGTTTGTCCTATTCAAACCCAAAACCTCCGTTATAGAAGTTTTTGGTTTCTTGGGGGGTGCCCTTAGCCTGAGCTAAGGGGGGTAGGACTACCGGGCCTCGTAGACGGGGAGCTCTTCCCCTACGACTTGGGACATAGTCCTGAGCCTGAGAACCCCTGTGTACTATGGGCCGGGTCGTCAAATCCCCCAAGAACTCACCCGGGTCGGAGAAGAATTTGGGTGATCACATCACTTTCGATCGTGGAAGGTGGAAGAGCACATCCAAGTCATCATATCAAGTCATATTATCTATTACGCGTCCCTTCAATCACCCTGCCAGTTTCACCTCCCGAATCAACTTCAAGCTGTCTTAATACATGGCAAGTATCCTCTAATTGTTCTGGACTATATTACCGAATATACAGTTGATAAGCTTTCGACCTCCACCGGCCAATCTTTACTATGTCTCTAAGATCGCATCCCAGATTCCACCTCAAAGAAGCGCCTCCGACACGAAAGGAGTGCCCGGTCAGCTTCACTTTTGTTGTAGATTTCCACACCTTCCCGAGTATGTTCAGGCACCGAGACTTTGTCAGAACACGTTGTTGACTCTTTACCGGATACGAAAACAAGGCCTCGTCTTCCGTCGCTTGGGTACACTGAATAAGTCGACAAACCGCGTCTACTGGGTCGAGCAAGGATTGTTGTCGCCAGAGGTGAATTTCCTGCACTTCTCCAACAGCAGCAGTCCTTGCAGCTCTAATCCTAATGTTCACGTACTCCCCATTCGGATCCCAAACCAAGTCCTTCACCCTCACTTGGTCATTAGCATTTGCGTTCTTCAACAATTCTCCCAGTCTCGCCATCCCCCAAAAGGCTACCAAGGCGACGGTATATACGACTTGGTCCTCCAAACCCTTGCCGGTAAGTTCTTCCAAAAGGCTGAACATATGTCGGACCATTACCGTCTCCTTTGGGACCTTTGCCTTCTTCTGAAGCTCAATCTTGCTAGCAGTTGTCAATATTAACTCGATCCTCGGTGTTGCATTATGCGGATATTCGGCATCGTGGTAAAGATGCCAAGCTTTTATCCCCAACAAGTAAGTTCGGACCGTAGTTGACTTGACTGGTCAAGGGTTTATGTCGGTCGACTCTTCAGGCAAATTAGGGCCCGCCCACACCACAAATTGGTACAAGATATGTTGATCGATTGGAAGGAGCAAGGAACGTGGTATTTGGAAGGCTTTTGCAAAGGTGATCAACTTTGACACGCCGGAGTTATAGTGCTTCAGAGTTGTTGCAGCCCATCCTCCGTACAGGATGTACGCCTTTACCGGATCATAATCCGATTTGTCTACTCCGGCTAGGAATTCCATTTTTGACATAATCACCGATCCTGATCGATCAACCTTGCAGTCAATCAATGGTCGAACGCTGCTCACAACTCGGTGCGGGATTCAGCTTAAGCGTGGTAATTCGGATAAAGCAGGGAGACACGACGGGCAAGTCAACCCAATTTCATTTCTTTAAAACGGCTCGGACACCGACTTCAACTCAACAACGCCACTCGTGGCGGCGTAACCTACCAACTAAGGCTGATACACTTGTTCTAATACAGGAGTCAAATCTACAGGCAATTCAATAGTCACAGTATCACCAATCAGTAAGATCTTTCCAATCCCCCTTGACAACTCATCGGCGTCATTATTTGCTGACGTCACCCTTTCCGCCACAATGTCACAATGGAGTTCCACGAGGAGATCTTGGATACGCTTCCACTCCTCGTTCACCGCACGGTCGCGGGACCTATGCTTTAAAACCACGGCCTCTGCTGTCGAATTATCAGTGAGCACCTTGAACTTCTTCCCCCTAACTTCCAACAACTTACTGACTACTATTAACCCTAACCTGATTGTAACAGTTTCCGCCCAAGCTATTCCTCCTTTATCAGACACTTGCAGGTAAGCTTTCCAACCGTTCCTCAACCGGAATTGCGCCCATCTTTTACCAACTAGGATGCCAATCCCAAACAACTAGCGGCGTCGCCCACCCAGTTCACGTCGATTGTGTCTATACTTGGAATAAACCTCCTCTTCTCAAACGATTCTAAAGTCTTCCTCCACTCCAAGAGGTCTACCCGTACGTCACCTGGTATAGCCCGTTTTGCTGACAACACACACCACTCGGCCTTCCATCTGTACAGGCTAAGCAAGTAACACATCATATTTGGTACAATGTACGTCATATGGACTAACCTTCCCACGAACTTGTCCGTCTCTTTGTAAGTAAAAGTTTCTGTGGGTTCAAGAAAGCGTACAACTTGAGCTAATCGTTCTTCTAGTTTTTCATCAGGTAATCGGACTGTCCTTTCTGCCGAATTCCATATAAACCCAATGTACCTCTGCTCGGCGAATTCATGGACCTTCTCCTCATTTGACAGGACACCCATGGACGTACTCAATGTCACAACATTCGCGATTGTAGTAGGGTTCGAGACTTCTTTGACAAGTAAATCATCGTCTACCCATTGAAAGGCGGCCTTCAAACCAAACACTTCCTTCACTATCTTCTTCCACAAGTCGGCTGGTCTCCCAAAAACTCCGCATCCGGCCACACCCCCGAATTGCACTCTTGAGTCTAACCATAACCTCCCCTGTAAGTCCATAATGAATAAATACCTCCATTGACTGGGGTGGATGGGGATTTGCCTGTAAGCTTTCGCCCAATCAAAGATTGCTAACAAAAAGTTTCCTTTTTCATCACTAAAGAATCTCGCCAAGACCTTGAAATCGTCCCAAGTGGTACCAAATTCCTTCTTGTTAACTAGGCTATTCACTGATGGGGTAAACTCCGAGTCATGCAGGTAAGATAAATCGTTAATAACCCAGAACAACCCATCCCTGTTTATTATGCTCCCCATAGGGCTGGACCAAAAGAATCCGATCTTCTCAAAGACTTCTTTGTGAGTAAATGGCCCGAAAATTCTCCCTTCTTGATGCTCTTTTGCTAACGTCTTTCTTATCTTTTCCATAGCTGACTTGGCGGATTGATGGTTCCCCGGCGTGAACCACTGACGGTACCCTAAAGTATGTTCCGGAATTCCTTGATGGAACCCTTTTACCAGGCCACTAATTACCTCCTCCGCTTCTGCAGTTATGTTGCACTCAGCTGCCAATACTCTCCACTCTTCAACCTTCAGACCGCACTTCACCGTTTCATCAGGCCAGCGAGCGTCATAGGAGTCGCCTGAATTTTTGTAAGCTTTCAACAATTCGTTATTCACCAAGTCTCCAGTTCTCAAGTCAATCATTAGGTCAGGTCTATTGGGCTCAAACTCGTTATTCTGATAGTTCAAGTCATCGACTTCACCCAACTTCGGTCTTTTCTCACTAGAACGGGACACACGGATGGGCAAGAGGCAAACCAAATCAATACTAACTCCAAAGGGACGCGACTGCATTACTACGCGCTTAGAAAGGATAATCATCACAGGAGAGCAAAGATGAAACATATCCTCATCCAACCGATTTAACAAACGGGCATACCATCTGCGCAGCGTATATCTATCAACAGACGGAGGGAAGCAATGACATAACCCGAGAACAGCCTTGCAGGGGATACGGAACAGGCCGAGGCTACAATTTGTAACTTTTCACACCAGGTACATGGATAGAGGAAACGGGAAACATCTCTTGAAGTTAATAACCATTTGGCTTACTTTGCCTTCCCCGCAGGGCCCGCACCATCACGGTCATCACCACGGCCACGTCTCTCCTCACGACGGTAAGTCTCACCATTTCCGTTAAATCTTCGACGGTTGGGGCTGCAATCTCTAGCACCTTGATTCCCGTTCCAGCTGCCCCGACGGCCTCGGAAAGCATGGTTCCTAAATTCGGGGCGTCTGTCTTGCCAAGCGTTCAAACTAGATCCTCCTGGTCCATCATACACGGGTAAACCAGAGAAGTTATGTTGCTGAGAGAAACTCTGTGATCTCGGGGTGGGGCGATTGAAGACATGATCAATCGCAGTGTTGGTAATCCAACTATCAATTCCCAAAATTGGATCGATGAAGGCTTTCACCTCACCGTCAGCGTATGGGTTGAGTTCTTTAAAGGCAGGTAAGAAGTCTTTCATCCGTTCGGTTTCTCTCAAGGCCTCACGTTCCAACCGCCCATCGCGTATAGCTGGATTAGCAACTGAACCGTCTGGAAGCCGGAAAGCCATCACTGCAGTTCAAACAGCTAAATCGTAACGAAAGGCAACAGGCCAGTTTGAGTTTTCTCTTTTGATGGCAAATACATTTTCCTTATGTTGCTTAAACTTTGTAGCTAACTCCTCCCATTTATAATATTGAAGGTAGGCTATAAACAAATCGAAGGCAACCACCCATTCCCCAAATGTCATTTTCCATTCCAGCGGTAATGTCAGACCAATGTACGTATCTTCCAGTTTTTCTTTTACCGAACGTTTACGAATTGACTGTTGAAGCAGGTCCTGGCGCAACCATTGAGGGTTAAACACCGATAGCGGGATATACGCGTCGAAGGAAGTCATCTTAGCCCCAAATTATTTCGACAGGGCGACTAAACCATGGGATTCGATACCCTCGTTACTGAACTTGATGGTAGTAGAAGTCGCAGCTTTAACAGTGAGCGTAGTATTGACTTCGACCTGGGCATGAGTCTCCTCAACATCTCCAGGCCACTCGAGGGCGCGCTTCACTGATGAGGTAGAAGATGGTTTAGGCGTGATACCGTTCCTATCATCACAAGATCGAGGAGTCGCGGAATGTCCGGAGGCAGGAAGGCCAGCAGCGTTCGACGGAGCAAGGGTGCTACAACTTTCGACAGGTGTATCTAAGGCGTTAACTCCACCCACTCCGGTACTAGATCCTCCAGGGGCCATTGTGACCAAGGCAAATCCTTTCGAGTTCAACCAGGACTTGATGGCTTCCGGCAAGCATTCATCTATCCGCGACAGGACACCACTGGCTCTCTCCACAATTGCTGCAGCTTGTTCGGCAGTTGGTGGTACTGTAAGACGCAAACAAAACAAAATCAATTCTGTTCTTTAGTCTTGCTCCTTTCCAAACCGCACCATCCACACGGTGTTTATCATGATACATCACAATCACTGTGGGATCACAAACGTGGCTTCGCAAACGCGGCATCACTAAGGTGGGAAACAATTGATACTATAGCTTACACTGAGCGTCTTTAACCTTGTTCGCATTAATCACCTCTTTCGCAATCAGTAGTGTCGAACTAGCAATACTGCCAGGCACAGGCACTGTGACGGCCTTAGTAGTAGGAGGTCTCTCCGTCGCAGGGATGGACGTGACTTGGGTTCCAGAGACGGAAGTTGCCGTGGTACCATTCCCATTAGTCGGAGGGGCATCACCGGTCAATGCGGTAGCGGGAGCGGACGATGAGTGAGGGTTCTGACCAGGCAACTGAGATCCGGGTAAAGCCGCTTGATTCCCTGCGTTTGCTGGACCTTTCTTAGCGGCGGCACTCTTCCCCTTTCGACCTTGTCCTGCGCTCAACTTGTCGGCATTTGCATCGGTAGCCGAGATGGTATCACTTGGTAATTCGGCTGATTGGGAATCTTGTGGGGTCGCAGATCCTCCACGAAGTCTATCACTACTTCTCTTCACGGATGTATTAAACTGATCAATGCTCTCTGGGTTTGACATTGTGTCGCGATGAATTAACCTTTATGTAAATGAAAGGGAAGTTGATATGATCAAATTTAATGAGAAATTTTTTCCTAGGAAATTGAGAAACTCTGTTAGTGAGAGTTTGTGAGATAGTGAAGATGAGTAGTGAAGATACACTCGTGGGATAACTGAGTGAAGAGACACAAAGTTGGCGATGAGGAGGAGCGGAATGAAATTCGAATTTTTCTTCTGCGACTCAAACAACCATCGCCCACGTACAGGTATCCCTCCTTAGAGGGATATCACATGACTCTATCTTCACATGATACAGTTATGTGTATACGTGAAAATTGCTGGTACCGTCGTGCCTTTGGGTACCAGCAGCCATTAAATCTGATAATATTTTCCGCACCACGTTTCTCCACATTTCTGTTCCCTCCACAACCGTTGGAATATTATATGATATTGGATGCACCATGGATAAAACGATCAAGAAGGTACAAATGGAACTTGATTATAGTGACCTGGAGACAAACTGACTATGCCCTATCAATTTCCAGAGAAGAGTTTTCACGGATGAAGCTTATGCAGCCCAAGTCAAGGTGGGTACTGCTTTGTTTCATGTGTATGCACACAACTGGGCATGCCAGCTGAAGTATAACCCTTGGATGAATCGAGGATGGGGGAAATCCAACGGAGAAGGGCTTGAGCGGGTATGGTGGAAGTTGGCACCGCTGATATGCCTGTTGTGCTATGCTACTAAGCAGCACAGGCTGGTTAGTTTAGATCTGTGGACAACCCATAGGAACAAGTCTCTGTGCACACAAGCTGGTGAGATTTGATCTTCCGATCCTGAATGTTTAACCGAATTGAATACTTTTTTGACTTCTGTACAACAAAATTCAAGTTTCATTTTTGGTTAAGGATACGCACAAGTACCAGGCGGAGTTAGTGGACTCACAGCGGGTGCTTGACAAGCTGCTTAAGGAGAATGCTGCACATACATCCAATTACTTTGAGGCACAGTGGAGTTGCCAGCAAGAGTTGCAACTGACGGCCATGAACGTACGGACCAAGGAAAAACGGGCACGATTGGAGGTATTGGTCAAACTCAAAGAGGAGCTGGTCAATGCACGGCAAGTATTCTTCTGCCTGTTTTTTTTTCTCACTTAACAGCCTTCACAGCCTATAATTGATTACATACTGTGTGATTTGAATAGTCAGAAGCTCGAGGCACTAAATGCAACTAATGCTGCAATACGTACAGCCAAGCAAAGAGATGCACTGCTTGACCTTCCTGGTTTGTTGGTGTTGCTTGAAGTGAAAATGCAAGAAGTAGTGGATGACTCGGAATGACCAAATTGATAAATGTTTGGTGTTGTGATGGTCAGTGTATAATGTAACTTTTGCACTGTGCCACATCTGAGTACTTCTTATTCCAACCCAACACAGATAACCAAGTGAAGGCCGTGATGACTGTCCAGGTTGCTTTAGCTTTGTTGTATGAGGCAAAATTTGATGTCATTCAACAGTTGGCGAACGCTGCAATTCAAACTGGTAAGTCCAAGTCACAGGCCTCATTGAAACGATTCCCGTTTGCGCAAGGGACACTGACCAATCATCTTTGAAACTGCACCTGTATACAAAACCTCAGGTGCCACACAGCAGCTGCGTAATAAGCAATTACGTCAAAAGAAACAAGTAATGTTGAAGAAGAAGCTGGACGCCTATTTGAGGCATGCTCAGAAATACAATGAATCTTACCGGCCGGCACAGCGCCTGGCGGAACTGACTTAAGATGAAGTCAAGGCTATGGATCTGCTAGATCCCTTTTGGAATGAGGTTGCGCTCAATCATCCGGATGAGCCTTGGGCGTGTTGCCAGAAGACCAAGGATGGGATCATTGCTTTGTGAAGAAGAGCTGCGCCGACTGGGACGTGAGGTCAGACAGCTTATTGGATGGGCAACTGACTTTCAAAACTGGGTAGACGCAATCAAACCAAATGAAACCAACGGTGAGTTTTAACTGGAATGAAGTAGTGGGAATGATTACTTACATCAATTCCAACATATTCTTCACAAGGTGCATCTCGCATCATGGAATGGAAGTCAATCTACAATGGCCTTGCAAGAGGAACTTGTGGCCTATGGAAGCGATGGAAGTGAGGCCTGTTGAGTGTTGTGCAATGTACACAGCCGTATGTTGAAGGGAGTGTGGATCGGGACGGGGAGATGATGCTTGGGTGGCAGGAGATGGTAGCTCACACTGTGAGTATTTGGGCACAAATATGTGGGGAACTGGTCTTCATTGTTGAGGAGGATGAAGATGAGGAGTGGCCTGAGATGGAGGACAATGAGCAGGAGTGGATTGGAGGGTTGGATGGGATAGGGGATTCTTGGGTTTAAATTTCATTTGGTGGTCAGTGTTATACCAATATAACAATTGTTATTGTTAATAGTACATCTGTCTTCATGCTTTCTCTTCTTCTTTCTCCTCTTTCAGTTAGAATTTGTAATAATTTGTAATGAAAGTGATCATTGCAATACATTTTTTGTTTGGCTCACATAGATATATTACATGGTCATAGCACACATTGAAGGAAATGACAATAAGAAAGATTTTATTTGGAGAGTGAGAAAATATGATATCTTCATAAGTTGAAATATCAGTCAAGGTGCACAATGACTTTTGCTTTTTTCCTTTGGGATATCTTGCTATTGGCCTTTACCTTCTCAGTATATGTATCAACCAGTGGCTTCCAACTGTCTGGCCAGCGTGAGGAATTGAGTGTACAAAATTGTTGCCATGTAATACAAATATTTGGAGCAGGTAAATTGGGGAGGGTGAAATCAAGCAATAAAGAGGCAAAGTGGTAATTGGCCCAAACAAGTACTATTGGAGGGTTTTGATTGGGTGGGGTTACAAAGGGAAAAATGGTTTGATCACACATTCCTGGTGCAAAAACATCACTGGCCAATCAAAAGTGGTAGCTATGACTCCACCCCAGCCAGGCATGCTGAGCCAATACTCTGTCTCGGATAACACATTTGGTTTCCTTGTTGCCAGGGAATGTATGGTGTCCTTGCGCGGCATGAAGAATGTACGTTCATAGAATATGTTGGGATTCAATTCTAGGGTCTCCTGCATACATTGACGTACATAGGCCCAATCATCCTGGGGGCGTCTGAGTGAAACTGAAATGGCTTGGAATCCGCAGTGTCCATCGGCGGCTACCTCGCGCAGGTCAGTAACAAAGGGTGCAAGCCAAACGTAGATGTGGTACTTTGTAAGGAGTGCTGGTAGTGTTGGATTGATAACTGGTGGTTTCCGTAAGAGCTCGTGGCCTCGGTTTCAAGTCATCCTGGTTGTCGCATGAGGTGCTGAGGTAATGCAGACAGGCTGTAGTCCGTCAGTGATGTTGTTGTGGGATATATCACCACCGCCTGATCTTTGCATGGGGTTGGGGATATTGGGTTTGCTCGTTTCGATGGTGTGGAGAGAGGTGTTATGACCTTAACATCATAAGGCTTAACCTTGATATGCTTATACTGTACTGTCTATACTTCATGTACTGAGAGGAGCACTTACTTTGCTCCTCACTTAGCAATCTAACTAGTTCACCAGAACACCCATTGGCGTCTCTCTTGCATCTCCTACAAGTCTGGTCCTTACATATTGCTAAGTCTAATATCAAAAGAGATCCAAGAGAAAACTGAAGAAAGAAGAAATTAAATCAAACAAAACATTAAGAAGAAAGTTGGAAGAAGTTTTTAAACGAAAGATTTTCAAAGTTAGAACAAAGAAGTTTAAAGTTAGATTACCAATCACTCTCACTCCGCAATCAAAGTTGAAAAAGCAGATCTTATACATCCACTTGCACGTACCGTAATACCACTAAATCAGAATTAGAAGACACCGACCCCGCACTCTTTAACTCCGCTGAATTCTTCCAAAACGCCCAGCTTCAAGATCCCTTCTCAATTGACGGACTCGGAATTGTCTGACAAGGAGTTTTACAAAACGGAGGAAAGTGCAAGGAATCCGGAACTTGAGCAACCCACGATGGCGGAGGTCTTGAGGCGAATGAGAGAATTAAGTACCCAATTTATGGGGGTTAAGGCGACATTAGCTGAAGAGTACCAGAAGCAAATGGAAGCTGAAAGAAGAGGAAACAAAGCCGAACAACAACTACGTATGTTCGAGGCTACTCATGCCGGTTCCGCTCAACCACAAAACCCGGCGTCAAATCCCCAAGCCCCAGTTCAACAGACCATCAGTCAGATCAAGCCTCCTAAAATTGATACGCCAAACAAGTACGACGGTACAAAAGGGCAGAAGGCCGAAGTTTTCGTGAATCAGGTGTGCCTATATATGCAAATGAATGCTGCTGCCTTTGTAAACAAACAGGCTCAAGTCGTGTTTGCCTTGTCATACCTGGAAGGGAAGGCAAGCATCTGGAGCCAGTTGCTTACGGATCAATTACTAGATCAAGAGAAAATGAAACTTGTCACATGGAAGAAATTCATTGAGTCATTCAAGGTAACCTTTTTCGATTCTGAACGTTTGGCTAAGGCGGAGAAGGACATACGAGCTTTAACTCAAACTCGTACTGTTGTTGATTACTGGATAAAGTTTTCTGAGTTGGCATTGATAGTTAAATGGCCCGAGAATGTTTTATTGTCACAATTCAAGCAAGGCCTAAAAAGAGAAATCACGGTACATATGGTCAGAGACGAATTTGAAGAAGTAGAAGAGATGGCGAAACTCGCAATCAAGCTTGATAACGAAATCAACAAACGCAATGTTAACGCTCATCACCCAGTTGTCTCATCAAACTCGTTGCTGAATTCAAATACTACTGTAGACCCTGATGCCATGGATTGCTCGGCATACCGTTTCAACATATCAAACGATGAGTACTATAGACGTGGAATCTCTGGAGTGTGCTACAATTGTGGAAGAAGTGATCACTTAGTGGCAGATTGTCCTGATAGAAAGAAGAAAATTGGAAGAGGAAATTGGAGAGGAAGGGGTGGAAACAGATTTAAATTCAGAAGTCGAGTAGCTGAGGTTGATGTAGTGAAAGAAGAAGAGAAGGTGGAAGGTAGATCAGAAAGCTCAAAAAATGGAGAAGCTTGGGAGTGCTAGTTGTGCCTCCCCCGAGCGGTATTGAATTAACTTTAGATAGTAGTAATATCAATTCACTTGAAATGAAAGACACCTGAATTATCGAAAATGTTACCATATCTGAAGTTAAAAGTGCCACAACAATAATAGCGAGAGCCCTGAAAGACAGTGGTGCCGCGCATGAAGCCATCAGTAAGACCTTTGTTGCTCATCATCGCCTTCAAACTGAGCCACTACCCCAAACCAGAAGTGTTACAGGGTTTAGCGGCCACGAGTCAAAAATCACGCACACTGGTGATTTTCACGTAAACTCCACAAACACAACCCCCACGACGTTTATTGTAACTGAACTAAGAGACAAGTACGACGTCATCTTAGGCATGCCATGGATCAAACAGAATCACGAAACCATCGACTGGAAAAACGGAAAGTTGAGAAATGAAGACCCAACCATTGCGGCTGCAAATGCAGCATCGTCAAAACCGAAAAACGCCTCATGGAGTCCAATGGCACTGCCGGAAAGGCAAGCTAGCAATTTCGACGAGGGGGTGGAGTCTAAGTGCTCATTAACACCCCCGCAATGTGAGTTCGATTACCCTAAGACGACTGTAATTGAAGAATCAGCTTGCAAGCTTGTACACCTACTAGGACAAAAGCCAAACTCGAGATTGGAACATCAAGAAAGTCACGTACTTGCAGCTAGCAATGATACAGCTTTGTCAACGCCGATTGATCAAAACCTCAATGACCCAACAAGAACTGGAGCCTATGGGGCAAGCAAGGCAAAATGACGAGGGGGTTAAGTCTGGCAAAGACTTATTTAAACCCCCGCAGAGTATGTGTAACCTTTGTTTGAATAAGATATATGAAGAACCAGCCGACAAGCGTCATTTTGTTCAACCACAGATATTCACGCAAAGTCGACGACAGCCTGCACGACAACCTGGAGCAATCATGAAGAAATTTAAACAACTACTTCAGCCAACAAATGCAATGATTGATGCAGCAAAGACTTCTTGGAATCTCTCAGCAAGGATCGCGGCGGAACAGACCAAAGATGCAGTGTCAAAACCAGCAGCTGATCTTGTACCTGAATATTATCACAAGTACCTGCATATGTTCGAAAAATCAAACTCCAATGTATTACCACCTCATAGACCTTATGATTTTAGAGTGGATTCAATCCCTGGAGCTACTCCTCAAGTAGGTCGAGTAATACCTTTATCACCGAAAGAAGGAGAGGTCCTGAATGAGATGTTGGAAAAAGGTTTAGCTAATGGCACAATCAGGCGTACCACTTCTCCATGGGCGGCGCCAGTACTGTTTACGGGAAAGAAGGATGGTAATTTAAGGCCTTGCTTTGATTACAGAAAACTGAATGCGGTCACCATCAAGAACAAATATCCCTTACCGTTAACCATGGAACTTATTGATAGTTTGTTGAATGCAGAAGAGTTTACAAGTCTCAACATGCGCAATGGATATAACAACCTTTGAGTCAGAGAAGGCGACGAAGCAAAATTAGCATTCATCTGTAAAGCTGGCCAGTTTGCACCGCTTACTATGCCTTTAATTGGACCAACAGGAGCCCCCGGTTTTTTTCAATATTTTATACAAGATATATTAAAAGGTCATATTGGAAGAGACGTGGCTGCCTATCAAGACGATATACTCATATATACAGGTCCTGGAATAGATCACAAGGCTGTAGTAAAAGAAGTTCTTGGAATACTGAGAAAGCAAAATGTATGGTTGAAACCTGAGAAGTGCAAGTTCTCAAAGAAAGAAATATTGTATTTAGGATTAGTAATTTCAAAAAATCAAATCAAGATGGACTCCAGTAAAGTCAGTGCGGAAAAATATTGGCCAACGCCAAAGAACGTATTGGAAACGCAAACATTTCTAGGCTTCGCAAACTTTTATTGTTGATTTATCAATCACTTTTCTAAAATTGCCCGACCACTACATGAATTGACAAAGAAAGATGTTGACTTCAACTGGAATGACAAAAGGCATAGAGCTTTCAAAACACTAAAGACGGCTTTTGCGACTGCACCAGTGCTTAAAATTGCTGATCCTTACAAGCCGTTCGTGCTTGAATGCGACTGTTTGGACTATGCCTTAGGAGCGGTGTTATCACAAGTATCAGATGACAACGGCGAGTTACATCCCATTGCTTACTTATCCCGGTCATTAATTCAGGCGGAGCGCAATTATGAAATTTTTGATAAAGAACTATTGGCTGTTGTAGCGGCGTTCAAAGAATGGAGACAGTATCTTGAGGGCAACCCCAACCGTCTCAACATAATTGTATACACTGACCATAAGAATCTTCAATCCCTGTTGACAACCAAAGAACTGACACGGAGGCAGGCACGATGGGCCAAAACATTAGGAACTTTCGATTTCGATATTAGATTCCGGCCTGGGAAGCATTCAACAAAGCCAGATGCTCTATCACAAAGGCCTGACTTTATTCCGAAGGACGGCACAAAACTCACTTTTGGACAAATGCTCAAACCAGAAAACTTACCGGCTGATGCATTCCTAGATGAATTGGAAATTGCTGATATGTGGTTCAAAAATGAAGAGCAATTTGTAGAAGATCAAAGTGACATCATTGAAAACGAAGAAATCAACAGTGAGACTAATGAAGGTTGTGGAATTTTGAATGACTCAGAAATAATTAAACTGATTAGAGAAAGAAATGATGAAGGCAAACACATCAAACAAATCATGGAACTATGCAAGGAAATGCCAAATGTGAAACACTTGAAAGGTTATCAGGTGGTAGACGGACTATTATATTTCAGGAACAAACTAGTAGTTCCACGGAATACTGATCTGAAAGTGCATATCCTTCGTTCTAGGCACGATAGCAAACTGGCTGGACACCCGGGAAGAATGCGGACGTTAGCGCTAATCAAACGAGCCTATCATTGGCCCTTGATGAAGGCCTTCGTAAACAGCTATGTTGACGGGTGCCAATCGTGCCAACGAGTGAAGGCAAGAACGGAGAATCCGCATGGTTCATTACAACCACTTCCAATCCCCGAAGGACCCTGGCTTGATGTTTGTTACGATCTTATAACGGATTTACCAGAATCGGAGGGGTATGATAGTATTCTTACAGTTGTCGACAGGCTAACAAAGATGGCCCATTTTATAGCTTGTGAGAAAAGCATGAGCTCCGACAAATTGGCAAAAGTTATGATCAAAGAGGTTTGGAGATTGCATGGAACTCCGCCGTCAATCACGTCAGACAGAGGAAATATATTTATTTCTCGAGTCACCAAGGACTTCCACAAAAGACTGGGAATCAAGACTCAATCCTTGACTGCATATCATCCACAGACGGACGGACAATCTGAGATCACAAACAAAGCTGTAGAATTATTTATCCGACACTTCACTACTTACAAGCAGGATGATTGGTTTGATTTACTACCTTTTGCTGAATTCTTGTATAATAACAATGAACATGTAGCAATAGGAGTTTCCCCATTCAAAGCTAACTATGGTTTCAATGTAAATTTCACAGACATACCAGCAAGTGAACAATGCCTACCTTTAGTGGAACAACGCATGCAGCAAATTAATAAAGTACAACAAGAACTGAAAAATACCATGAATTTAACGCAAGAAGAAATGAAACGTCAGCATGATAGAAAGGCAAGAGAAACACCGTCGTGGAAGAAAGGAGATGAAGTATGGTTAAATGGAAAACATGTATCAATCTCGAGACCCACTGCTAAGTTTTCTCATCGTTGGCTAGGTCCATTTAAAATTACAGATTGTGTGTCGACTAATGCTTATAGACTCCAACTACCCAAGTCAATGTCCAAAATTCATCCAGTCTTTCATGTTAATCTATTACGTCAATTTAAGAAAAGCAAGATAGAAGGTCAAGACATACAGCCAGCACCAGAAATAATAATCAATGACAGTGAAGAATTTGAAGTTAATGAAATACTCAACAAAAGAAAAAAGGAAAAAAGATTGAGTATTTAATTAATTGGAAAGGGTATGGAGAAGAACATGACTCGTTGCAACCAGCAAGCAACCTTCAAAACTCTCAAGAATTAGTAAAAGAATTTGAGAAAAAATATCCTCAGGCTGAACTAAGGTACACTAGGACAAGAAGGAAGTAGTGAGGGTTAAAGCTTTTTCCCCAAGGGGTTTTTTAATGCTAACCCGTGGGAAGATGCTAACCTGCAAGAGGAGGTTGAGTCATAAAGGGGGGAGTGGTGTTATGACCCTAACGTCATAAGGCTTAACCTTGATATGCTTATACTGTACTGTCTATACTTCATGTACTGAGAGGAGCACTTACTTTGCTCCTCACTTAGCAATCTAACTAGTTCACCAGAACACCCATTGGCGTCTCTCTTGCATCTCCTACGAGTCTGGTCCTTACAAGAGGTTGATTTGTGTAGACACGTAAAGAATCAAGTAATGTGAGTGTTTGGTCTTACGCATGGACAATGTATACGCTGACCTCTTCTTCTTCAGGATGACTAACTTCTCCATCCGTATCATTTCCATCTTTCGCACCATCTATCACAATATCCTGATCAGAGGTACACCTCGTAAACCTCAGTACTTTGGACCCGTACCGAGGAAAACGTGTACCGTATCCTCGGAGCGGCTCCGTATACAAGCGGCAGATGCATTTGAGATGTCTCAGATGCATCTGAAGCCACCCTCGCAGCGGTACAAGTTCAATCCTCCTTGCTGAACAAGGCTCAGAACTTAAACGCACACTGGAACTACACATACCAAGAGGCCTATTGTTGTGTTTCCACCCAACTGTGCCACATAAAAATGTCATAAACCCCAAAGGGACACAAGGATCACTGCTCACACATACCACACATGGCACACACGTGTGCCACACTTTCTCATAGCACTGTGACACAAATGTGACACATTTGCTACTTTGGCCCAAGATACCGGTCTACACTTCATCTTCATGACATCATACACATCAACCACACACACCTCTCACAACATCTATACACAACCGCACACCATGCGCCAGCTACATACATGACTGACACTGTTACGTCGGCCACCAAAGCCTAATTCCAACCTAAGTACAACATCTATCTACATGTGTACAATAACATCTACGTGTGTTTCAGTTCACTCAAACAAGTCAAACACCCACACAACCCAAAACTTAACTTTCTCTTAACTTTCAAACACTAAAAACCCTCGATCGATCCCATCAACATCACTCATCGTCCCTACAGACTCTCACCAAACATTCATCCTATAAAATGCCAACTCGTGGGACCCGCAAACGCACTTTAGCATCTCCTGCTGCCAAAACTCAACCCAAACCGACTCAACACCGCACTTCCAAACGATTAACCCAAAAGAAAACCACAGGCCCAGCCATTTCAAGGCTTTCCAGTGATGACTCTGATGCTGATGAAGAGGAAGATGATGAAGATGAAGATGAAGTCGATCAGGAGGACAATGAGGAAGACAAACAACCCAAAACCCCTCCCATCAAACGTACTCGAATCACTCGGAAAAAACAAATCGACCTACCTATCAAACCCAGCCGCTTCGACAAACCCCAGAATCCTTCTGATATTGATCCCCACCGTGTCACTCTGCAGAACTACGAAGAGTGTGATCTCGATGAAGCTGCCATTGATGAATTGCTTGCAGACAAAGACCGCAAAACTTCAAATCGGATCCCAACTAACATCCAAACCGAGCTCAAAAATGTTCAAATGTGGTACCGACGTATGAAAAAATTGTTTGCATTGATGGCACACTGTAGTGAGAACACAGTCAACGAGTTCCTGTGGGTGAGGTATCCTTGAACATCATTTGCTCATACAACTAATGCAAGCTCTTTTTCCTAGGCATGAAGCAAGTGTACGTACAAAAAGATCAATATATCAAGCTTTCCTGAAGTACAGCCTGGAGAGTACGACTTGTACACAAAGTAAGTCATTACTCATTCAGACTCACGTGCCACACAACTAACTAATCCACTCTTCCTCCTAAGTGCCACCCCGAAACCAATCTGAGGATTTTGGTGACCGTAACCAGCACCTTGGATATTTTTGGACTAATTTATCATCCGACTGCAAGGATATCTACAACAAAGATATCTTCTATAAACTTGGAAACCTTGCCTGCGGAAACCCACTTCCTGAAGAGGCAGGCTCAGCTACACTGACCGGTGAAGAGGTCACTAAATACTTACCAATTTTCAAGGAGAATATCAATCTTGACCGGGTTGCGAAAGACTTGGGAAAGGGAAAGTTTGGGCCTGATCTTCCAACTAAAAATCAAAACAAAGGCATCAAGGCGATTGACCGCATTGACAATGATGTAAGTCCTTGTATTTCATTCTATTCATTCCTATTCAGACGATAAACTTCAATTCTTTGCTAATCAACATCAATTTCTCAACTTTTCAAGTTACAAACTATCAACATTCGCTATGGAGTTCAGTACCACCTCATGGCTTGCTCATGGAACCCTCAAACCCGCAATGACAAGGCCCACTGGGAGAATGAAACCTCATCATGTGAAGATTGGCTTCATATTTCCGGTCAAAAACACCTTCTGGAAATTTTTGTTCGGGAGACAATCAAGGCCGAGAAACCTACAGTAATTGAAAAGAAGACCCCACAATCTAGTGACCTCATCAAGATGCGCCTGACTTCTACCCTAAATGGCCTTGTGTAATGATCCTTATATTGAGAACTATGCTTATAGGGGAGGAAGGGGCTTTTCATCCCTCTCGTTGTATTACTGTTGACCTCACTTGACAATGCGGGATTGTCATCCAAAGACTTCAAATTCACACCTAACTATTGCTGCACGTTCATTCTCAGGTGATGTAAGACTCAAAGTAGAGAGGACCCTTGAGAGCAAAATGACTGATGATATTCTCAAGAAACCTTTTGAGAAGATGTCACTTGCCACATACAAACTTTGGACCCAAGATATACTGGATGGAAATTACAAAGTAGTCAAAGTAGTCAAAGCTGAGTCAGAAGAACCTACCTCTCCCTCTGAATCTATTCCGGAGGATCAATCTGGCCTAGGAGAAGAGGGTGAGGAGGAAGGCTAAATATTAAGACAGACGTTGATAATGAATATCTTGTCTTGTATTTTTCATTTTATTTTGCAAAGTATATTGTTATGTGAATGAAGATTCTGTGTTATTTACATTTCATTCTTGAGTATTTTGGCGAGCTACATAAAGCCCCATTTGTCTAGCTGGGCCTACAAGGGTATATGTTCAACTGGTGGTAGCACGTAAGAAAAAACTGATGTGCAAATATACAAGAAATCCGCATCAGGTGTTCAGGTCTGTCACGTGAGCACACATGTGTGTCACACAAACACACATGTGTGCTTGGGTGACACGCAAGCAGAGCTGTATGACACATATGTGTGCTTGTGTATAATACAAGCAACCTATGTGGCACATGGCTACATACATGTGATTAAATGGTCCTAGTGTGGCATGGAAATGCAATCTAGTGTCACGGCTAGGCACAATCTTGTGTCACACCGCACAGCTATGTGTCACAATGACACAATCTTGTGTCACACAACAACACTATGTGTCACAATGTCACAATGCTGTGTCACAATGCCACAATGGTGTGTCACAGTGACAGATAGTTGTGCAGTGTGACACATAGTTGTGACACACCAGAAAACAGATGTGTCATTGCGAGGCATACATATCAAAGCTGTAAACAACATGTATCACAAATTTTCTTCTTCAGCTTCCTCCTCCTCCTCCTCCTCATCATCATCATCATCCATCTCAGGTACCTCCATCACATCTCCAACTGCCTCAGCATCTCCCAAGGCCCC